CACATAGGGAACATAGGGAAAAGGAGGGGGATCGGGGGACCTGTGGTGAGGTAGGGGAGCGGTGGCGAGGTCACCGGAGTTGGGGACGATGGCGATGAGGATCCTCGATAGTCGGAGTTGAATCGACGAGGAGCGACGAGCGAGTGAGCGGCAACTGAGCGAGAGAGGCGCGGCGCCGCGGCGAGGAGGGATTCTGATTAGGGTTTGGGGGTGAGGAGAGGGGCGCCTGCTTATATATGGATCGGGGGGTGCGGTGGGGAGCTGAGCTGGGCCAGATTCGGCCTGCGGGGGGAGGCGGGGAGCCGTTGGGGCACCAGGCTGCCACCGGGCCTACCGTTGAGGAGCGGGACGTGTCGTGCTGGCCCACGTGCCTGGGGTGAGGCCCAGGCACAGCCTGCTCCTCCGGGCCGTGCCAGCTCGGGCCCGCTGGCCACCGGCCCGGGCCGTGCTTTGGCCAGGCCAAAAATACGGGCCTCGTGCCGGGCTGACGGGCTCGGGCTGCATACCCATATATAGCTGCAGGTAGTCTCCTCTCCTCTTAAGAAGTGCCTCAGCATGGAGTGCCTGTCACCAATTGCCTACTATGGAGCTGCTGCTGCTACGTCAAGCTTGTCTTCGTCTTCATGGTCGCTTGCCCCAGTAGAGGAGAGCTCCCAGAGGATCACCGGAGGGTACGTGTCTGATGGCCTCGTGGTCAGGGTTCAGGACAGGAAGAAAGGTGAGATTGTGAACAAAACTAATGTGCTTACTTCAGTTAATTTGTTATTTTCTAGTCCTGTTTCAGAGTTTCTTTATCTCTGCAGTTCGATTGAATTTATTTTGATCCTGAATGTTGTTCTGAAGCTGTGAACTTCAGTTAATTGTCATAATTTCTTGCATGGATTGATTGATAAGTCTATGTCCATATTCTTTTGTAACTCCTGAATAATCAAAACAAGTGTCTCAGGCGTTCCATGGACCGAGGAAGAGCACCGGATGTTCCTTGCCGGCCTAGACAAGCTCGGGAAGGGCGACTGGCGAGGCATTTCCCGACACTTTGTCACGACACGGACACCGACGCAGGTGGCCAGCCATGCCCAGAAGTACTTCCTGAGGCAGAACAGCCTCACACAAAAGAAGCGGAGGTCCAGCCTCTTTGATGCGGTAACTGACGTGAATTCTCTGTCCGATCAGTTGACCTTTTGTTCCTTGGCAGTGTTTCATGTAATTTTTACCTGTCACCTACACGCTCTTCAGGTTGAAGGTGCCAAGACGGCAGCAATCCGCAGGACAGCATCAGTATCCGAGCTGCAATTCCCCAGCCTGTCGCCGGTGGCCGTCGACGCAAGGACGAAGGGAGCTGCGCTGCTGCCGCCTCCATGCCTGAACTTGATGATGAGCACCGCATCACAGTGTGTTGGTAGTAGTGATGCACCACAGTCACAGAAGCCATCTTCCCTCTACCTGATGGCAAAGCCTCAGGCGCAACTCCAGATGCCTGATCTGGAGCTGAAGTTGTCGATATCCCGGTTATCCGAACAGCCTGGTGGTGCCTCCCGGGGAACGCCTCTTTTCAGAACTATCAGAGTTACCTGATCTTCTTCTATCCTCAGTTCTCATCAAAAAGAGGGATGGGAATCAGAAACTGGCGTCTAGGAGATAAGGCAACAGAAGTAGCAAGAAGCTATACTGTAATTTCCTAGCTTGATCAACCACGCCCGCGTGAAAAAAAAAAACAAAGCAAAGAGAAGCAATAAATTATGTATATTAGTATCATATTTCTATTATCACCTTAGCTTTATGTTGACACAAAGGCATGGCAAAGTAGTTGCCGTCATATTTCAGAGCGTGGAAAAGGGGAAAGATGAGCCTATAATATTCAGTTTGCACTTGCAGTGATCACTGACAAGGACAGGCAGAATGACCTCCACTGCACACAAACATGATCATGTCACCTTGTAGAATTAGAATACCTTAGCCCTGCATGCATGAATGAAGCCAATCTGCGAGCAATCAAAATTAGTTGTACATGTTCTTGTGACTGTTACCAGTTCTGTACTGACATATAAAGATCTATCAATCATTGTTCTCCTTGGTTTGTCATCTCTCCCTGATAAAGACTGATCACTAGCATATACACATGGTACACCTACGGACCTACCGGGCTGCAGAGGTCAGGAGATGTAACAGTGGTGTTGTTTGCTGAATCATCAGGCCTATTGTTTTCAGCGAGATAGGATGAGATTTGGGTGAAACATCTGAAAGTTCCACTTCAAGTATGAATTAACATGTGGCAGCAGCCGATTACGTGCGTAATGAAGCAAGGAAACATTTTCATGGTTGGCTTGTTTGATGCGATGTAAGTTGAGGGGACATATTCCTCCTCATTTGCCCTGACCATGATCAGGCCCCTGACCTAATAAAGAACGTTTGACACTAAACAATGGCGACATCATGAGGATACGTACGAAAAGCAAGCATCAAGGAGAGGATTAGGATAGAAGCATTGTATAATATATAGTCTGTAAAGCAGATGTAGAATATGAAAAAGAAAGAATTAGGACTGGTTAGTGGATTTCACATTTGGTTTGTGCAACCTTACATTCAGATGATTTTAGATACATGCAAAGTGTATACATAAGATCCTCAACGTGGTCATGTCCTCATAGCTAGGCCCAAGTCTCTAGGCGACAAGGAAAACTATCTCTATTCCTCGCCTCAACAGCCTCAAGCCGAACCTATCTAACCCGGGACGAAAAGCAAACGACTCTAACTAGTCGAAGTGAGGCAGAAACACAGGAATGTCCACAACTAGAGAACGGCTATATGTATAGACCTTATCTCTGCAGATTATGTACACCTGTACCCACAGGATTGCCATCATTAGCGGAGCACCTCGCCTAGGCTGGCATTGGATAACTGGCTAGCTGATACGATACCGCTCTACCCTCAGCTTTGAGTCACCCTAGAGTACCACCTGCATGCTGAGGATGTAAAACTTAGTCTTCTGCTACAAGGAAGGACTACGATTCTCAGAAGTGCTAGTCTTAGCTCTACCTCCATATACACTGCCTCCTTCGTCCTATGCAAATGTGATATACTACCGGATACAGGAGCTTTGCCGAGTGCCAAAGCCCAAAAAAACACTCGACAAATGACACTCGACATAGGTTTTAACGGTAAAGAGCTGTTTGCTGAGTGTCAATCGTCGGGCACTCGTCAAAGACTATGCCGAGTCAAAAAAAACACTCGACAAACATTTTTCGGGAAAAAAAAACAAGTCGCCGGCGGCACCACCACCACAGCCGCCGGCCACCACCGCCGCCGCCACCACCACCACCACCACCATGCCCCGACGCCGGCCACCACCACCACCACACCACGCTGCCCGCAGCCAGATCCGGCCGCCACCGGCCGGATCCGAGAGAGGGAGGGCCGGATCCGACCGGGAGAAGAAGAAGGGGAGGGGAGGGGCTGCCGCCATGGAGCCCGCCGCCACCGCGTTGCTCGTCGTGGAGCCTGCCGCCGGAGGGCTCCTAACCGTCAGATCCACGGATCCACCGCCACCGGGATCCAACCCACCGGATCCGCCGCCGGAGGACACCTCTCTGCCGGATCCGCGCCGTGGTGGCTCCATCCCACCGGATCCGTGATGCCACCCGCCGGTGGAGCCATGGAGGGAGGGGAGGAGGGCGGATCTGCACCGCCACCCGCTGCTGCTGCTGCTCCGCATCGCCGGGAGGGGCCGAGCCGCCCTGCGCCGTAGACGGGAGGGGCTGGGCTGCCTCGCGTGTGGCCGTGAAGGGCCCTCGGAGGGAGGGGAGCGGCGTGGTGACGCCGGAGAGAGGGCGCGGGCGGGCGGATCTGAGGAGGAGGTAGGGGAGGAGGGATGGGAGGGGCGCCCACGGGAAGAAGAAGGGGGGAGGGAGGTGCGCCTGTCGGGGGAAGAAGAACGGGGGAGGGAGGGGCGCCGAGAGGAGGGAGGGAGGGTGCGACGGGCGAAAAGGGAGGAGGGAGGGTGATGGCGGGGAAGAAGAAGGGGAGGGAGGGCGTCCGCTGGGGCGGTTAAAAAGTTTTTTTTCTTTGCCGAGTGTCCTAGATCTGGGCACTTTCGGCAAAGTTTTTCCCATTTTTTTTCTTCTCCTTCTTTCCCAGAAAAAAGATTTTTTTTGCTTTGCCGAGTATCCTAAATCTGGGCACCCGGCAAAAAAAAAATTTATTTTTTTTTCTTCTCCTTCTTTCCTAGAAAAAAAGATTTTATTTCTTTGCCGAGTGTAAAAAAAAACACTCGGCAAACCCCCTCTTTGCCGAGTGTTTTTTTACACTCAGCAAACCTCCTCTTTACCGAGTGTTTTTTTTCAAGTGTTTTTAGCGCTGCACTCGGCAAAGAACTTGTTTGCCGAGTGTCCGAGAGAATACACTCGGTAAACATAAAAACACTCGACAAATTTAACATTTCCGGTAGTTATATATTTCCCTAACTAGCTCACATCTTAACCCCGACCATAAAGGAGCATGTGGTGTGTACGAAGGCCAAGTGAAACTGATTACCCAACTAAGTCCTTAGGGACCAAGCAAGGCATCTCCTCCAATAGGGAAGCACAGCTACCGTGCCAATAACAAGCATCTCAACCAAGCAAGACAAGGCTAGCAAGGCTAAGTTTCCATGGAACTCCACAAGGTTCGTACCCACCACAAGTACCCTCATAGGACGCTCATGTCACACACTCTTGAAACAATGCAGTCCGAAGACTATGTCACATTATTCTACCTGGTCGAAACACCCTTACCACACACCCAAAACACACACTACAAATCTCTAAGCTACATAACCATACCTCAGTGGAACAATACCTCAGTTCAACAGTGTTTAATACTATTCATGGTACTGTGTGTTGTTGTCCAATTATTGTTTGTACTGTTTATGGTTGTTGTCTGTACTGTCCATCCATTGTGCTACTGTTCATGCGCTTTTACTATTTACATAACGATCTCGTGCGGGCGGAGCGAGCCTATAGAGCTAGTATGTGTAATACTAGTAATATGCAAGCAAGCTAGCTTAGCATAAGAAAGCACGGAATATATTAGTTTTTTTATCACGTAAAAGTTTTACGTATCTTTGTATTAAGGTAGAGAAAATGTTCAATAAAACACGCCTTAGGACACCCTATGGGTCAGTAAAGATTAATATGTAAGCTCAGACCCTCTCAACAGGTATAAAGTTGGTATGCCATGCTATTAGGTTGCATACATCAGGTAGTAAAGCTCTAGAGTATATATTAGCAATGTCTAAATATGATGTCTAAAGAGAGTTGAAAACATGACACCTATGGATCACCAAGTAGTTGTTCATGTCTCCGTATTCTCCAAATCAGCAGAATCCTTCTCTTGAAGCATCTCGTGGTCTAACAAGATTCAATAGGAACAACAATAAATAAGACCCAAATAACTCTAAAAACTGCACTAAAAGATAGTTCATATTTTTTTTTAAAATGTAATTTTGAAGATTAAAACTCTTCCTGAAAAAACAGATAAAGAGAACGTCGGGGGACTGACACGGAGAGCAGACACGTCGATACTAACAGGTAGGTCCCACTATGGGACCAATGGTCAACGTGGGTCTTAGAGCGCAGACTTGTGGGTTTGCTAGTGGATCCCACATCCTACATGGCTCCACGTGGCTGCTGACTCAATAGATTGGGCTTATGTGGCGGTTAACCAGGAGAACAAAGGTTGCTGCTGACTCAATAGATTGGGCTTATGGTGGTCAACCAAGAGATCAAAGGTAGGGAGCATCCCAGGCCGCGCTTGCTCCGAAAATAAACCTCTAGCGGATCGTCCTAGATCAACAGAAGAGAGGGAAAATATTAGGGGTCATTGGGCCAAAATGACGGCATTATGGTCAGATCCGCTGAGAAAAGGAGGTTCCACGCCAGCCACGTGTTTGGCTTAACAACAAAATGGGCTCAGCGAAGCAGAACGAACGTGACAGCATGCAAGACTAGGACCTCAACGTAAGCACTCTAGGTGCATAGCACTGCCCCTCTTTATTGGCTCACATGACTTTGATTGCGAGCACCTGGTGGCGGCAAGATGCCTTGGCTCAAGTGCCGAACGCAGAAAGGAAGGCGAGCAGCTCGACTATCGGCCGATGACGAGTACTCGAGAATGGAAAAAAAAATGCATGCCCTATATCACAAGAAACGTGGAAAGAAACAGAAAAACACAACAGATAAGTGTGATTTGGGAACTAGGGACTACTAAAAAATCACATAAGTGTAGCTAAATGGGAGGACAACGAGCATCGGAGCACAAGAATCCTAAGTTACTTCTAATAAGCACAACTCTAACGAGGGATAATAGTGATACAGATAAACTAAGAAATAGAGTGATTCACATGCACTTCGGGGCAAAACCCTCCTAACCAACCCAAGAGATTAATTAGACAAGGACTGCCATGAGACCTAGGACTTAATAACTAGATCTATCATGGTGGAATGGCCCCGTTCGGCTGGTAGAATTTTGGATGAAACTGACTGAAAAACACTGTTCTGGTTGAATTGTTGTGAGAGAAAAACACTGTTCCGGCTAAAAAA